GCCCTATATTATATATATGCAATAAATTTAAGGAAAATTATGCATTGAGAGCTAGAGGTCGCAGGTGCGAATCCCGTCGAGGGCATTTTATTGTATTTATAGGACAACATTCATTGACAGGTAGGCCTACCATCGTGTCCTTTATTCGAACACTGTATTTTACCTTCCTTAGATGATTTATATGTTACCGGCTATTTTGATATATATTATATTATATTATATATATATATATATTATTATTATTATTATTATTATTATTATTATTATTATTACTGTAATTATTTTACAATCAAATTTAAGGCCTAAAATTAAGAACCGTTCTGAGAGAAAAAATAGAAATGATAATTCAAGCATCAGATTTGATTTATTCATTGATATTATAATACTTTTTAGTTCCTCCTGAAAAATATATCTGAGGTCCTTCGGGTTAAAACAGAATAATTTTAGGCCTAGTAGAAGTGATTTCTGCAAATCCTTAAATCCCTGTACATCCGGCATTACAAAGTTAAAAATTATTTTTAGAACATCATGAATCAAAAAAATGAAACGATGGCTTTGAGGTTGAATTTTCTTTTCCGTCGATATTATAAGCTGATATAAAGCCTATAATGCAGATTTTCAAGTAGAAAAGGCTTAGCCTACAGTACTATTCATTCAGGTATCTCGCTCTTAGACCTAGATACTAAATATTTATCACAAGCTTCCTATAGAATATATATATATATAGGCCTATCATTTGTATTCGGACATTACTTGAATATACATCTCTTGTATGGGAGATAGCAAGCCTAGCGCCAGATATATGCAAATACGTGCCACGTACATGCAAGATCTTCTCAGACTACGCTCATCCACTTGTTCCCGAACACTCAGATCAACTACAAGTTCATCAACTTTGTTTGTTCCTGGGTGCCGTTCGAAAAAATATGGTGAGAGATCATTTCGTGTTTTGGCTCCAAAAATGTGGAATGCATTACCCGTTGAAGTCCGTGAATCAGCGTCAATTGACATCTTTAAAAAGCGACTCAAAACCTTTTTATTTTCCTCTTTATAGCTACTGTTTTCTTCTTTTTTTTCTTTTTCTCAGTTTCACCTCGCTAGCTAGTGTTGTTTGTTCCAGGTTAGGAGGCACCTGATCCCAGAAAAGATCAAAACTTAACCGGTACTAACCGGAGTACATAAACACAGATCTCCGGTTGGCGGTGATGGTGTAACCCCATACTTCGGTTTGGGTGCTAGCTTGGTTTTTATCGTTTTTTGTTTTTTTTTTAGTTTCTTTTTTTTTTTTTTATTTTTTTTTTTTTTTAGTTTTTTTCTGGCTTTTTTCTTTGTGTTCTTGACTTCAATATTGTCTAGCGCATAGAGACCTCGTTTATTCGCGCTATATAAATCCATCTATTATTATTATCTTGAACATTTTAAATGAGTTTTGCATGAATTGGTATTAGCACATGAATACATACAGTCATTCCGCGAACTTGCTGGTTTACACGGAGTGGACCAAACTGAGTGATGAAAATTCCACTTAATGAATATGGGCTAAAGAAAATTAAAACATTAAACATTAAAATTCATTGACCCCCCCCCCCGTTGGTTTTATACAATTTATGAAAAAAAAATATTTTGCTATTTAATTTTAAAAATGGATTAATTATTTGCATATCGTATAAATACGATGGTCGGTTCGTTCGCTTGTTGAGGGTAGCGATTTTTTGTTTGTATAACATTGAAATTCATTGACCCCAGTGAAAAGAGTTCCATATATTGCTACTGGCTCGATTATTTTAACTCCACAAAAAAATACTCCTTTAACAAACATTGAGACAATGATTGATGTTTTAGTTTTTAATTTATATTGGATTAATTATTGGCGTGTCGTCTGAATACAATTGTCGGCTCGTTTTGTTTTGTTTGTCACAAGCATGTAGGTCAAAATTATCCAATCATTGTGTGTGCCTTTAAGTTATATTTTCATCTGAAAGAGTAAACCATTTGCAGAACAGTTTACAGAATATGAATTAGTTAGTTATTCATAGTTTTATGGTGATTTTGGTAATCACACCAGCACCCACCACCGACAAAGCTCAAACGTTACCCTTTTCCGGTGGGCTATGCGTCCTTGATACTCTCGTTGTAAATTAACTCGAATTTATCTGTGAAGCGGTAATCAGAGGGTTCACCGATAGAGCTTAACGCCATGACATGTTATATAACCTTATCATTGTTTTCATTGTTTTCTTTGACCAATTGTTTTCTTTGTCCCAGTAGGACAAATCGTTTCCATCAACCTAACTTTCCAAAACTAGTACCACCGTTGTACAGACGGCTGTGTCCAGTCAGTGATCAATGGCTAGCACACGCAAAGTTGGAGTAGCTGTATGTGGTATGGGAAAGATTGGTTCTGTTCATTTAAACCATGTGGTACGAAATCCAAGGACTTCAGTCAAGTGGCTTGTTGAAGAAGATCTTGAAAGAGCAGTACATTTAAAAAACGAGTTTTACATGGACGATTCCGTACAAATTGTCAATGCAAGTAAGCTGAACAAAGTTCTAGAAGACAAAACGTGAGTTAACATTATTACATTATAAATTCATGTCACATGATCACCATTAATAACTAGAATACTAAGCCTGTAGACTAGAATCGTGTTTGTCAAACTTAATGAACAATATATTAGTTCTTCGATAAATATATTATTGGCATCATAAATATTACAAATAAACGATCAAAATTAGGCTTTAAAAAGGTGAAATATGCTTGGATAGCCCTGAAAGTATTCGAAAAGAAAGCTTATTTCCAATGGATTCCCAGAACGAGAACAATATTGTGAGAACAATGTTGACAGGTTAAAACCCTTATGCTGCCAGCTCTTTCTTACTCAGTCAAACTAATTCTTCCATGGTCAACCATAGAGCCAGCTGATAACGATGTACGGTAAGAATGGCCCTGATAAAAATGGCCCAAGAAAAATGGCCCCAATAATAAAATTCTGTATTAAAACTGTTTTTTTTTTAATCATTATATGCATTTTTTTAACTGAAATAATTTAGTTTTTAAAAGGAATCTAACATCAAATAAATTGCCATTTCCATTTTACTTTTTGCAGGAATTACATATTCAATGATAAAATATTCAAAGATTAAAAAAAAGCCATGAATAACATTTTTTTTCATTTAAATGTTAAAAAAATAGCAACAATATAATCAATAAATCAACATAAATCATGCATTTATTAATACTAAAATAATTTATTTGTGGCCAATTTCACGGAAGCGGAATCACAATTTTCCAGAAATTCAATCCGGGTATTGGTAAACCCTACAAACAATGGGTTGATATTTTTTTTTAATTGCGCAGCATAGTTCATTTTATAGTACTGTAATATGCTGTTATTTCTGCATTTTATTTCGACATATAGAGAATAAATATAGGTATATTTTGTCAATGATGACAAATAATATAGGCTTATTTATTAGCAGATTATGTGTTAGTTTCTAAGTCTCCTTATTATCCAGCACAGCTGTAACAACTGCAGAAGAATACAGTTTCTCAGCATTTAAAAACATCATACAGGTATTTTCAACTTGCAAAAACTCAAACTTCTAATAAAACAACCCCTGGTAAGTTTCACATCAAAATGTGCAGAATGCATTGGCTTTCCTATACAGCTTAAACACTATTTGGGTTCGTTATACGCTGGTCGGTTTTTAGAAGATCTTCACCAATTCGCATTTATGCAAAGGTGGCATTATCTGTTCTATTTATTATAGATTTTAATATATTTATATGAATATTCATGATGCTATTATAATTATATGAATATTCATGATGCATTATCAGACATTGTGAAAAACAGAAATGTAACAGTGTGAACCATTTTACATGGTGTAAGGTAGAAAGGAAGTAAACAGTCTTTATAGTATCAGACCATATGCGAATGATTTCATTTAAGGATTTCGATTGCATATTTGATAGATTTTAGAGCCTACATATTTTTTGCAAAATTTGCTTTTTCTTCCCGACGAGTGGGCATTCCTACCCCTTCCTCTCCCCATTGGCGCACGTCTGATAGGAAAATAACAAGCAATTATAGCATTTTATGACGTGGCAACGTAACAAACTATATGTAACATTGTAGAGCGTATTCATTTACTTTTCATTTTTTATTTTCAAGATATTTTTTTACAATTTTTTATACATATTTGCAGACATTTTGATCCATCTATACGGGATATATGTAAACGGGTGAAAGCTGGTGAGCTTGGAGAAGTAAAATCGATTAAGACAACAAGTAGGGACCATCTACCACCTCCAATCAGCAACCTAAAAACTTCTGGTGGGTAGAGTTTTGCTTAGGGATGTACCAGTTGCTTTTAGAAAACTGTTCTTTAGTTTTTGCTAACTTGATATTGGCAGTAAAAACAAAACAATGCAAGATAAATTGAAATAATGTAATGTACTTCAAAATACTAGACTATTTAAACGGGGATGAGTAAGGCACGATTAAAAGACAAAAACCATCACGTTGTAAGATTGTTGACAACAAATTACCTCAGTAGTGGAGTGCTGTTCCTCGATTAATTAATTAAATTGTAAAATCATAGAAGCAGAACAAAGGGCATACTTAAAAAGAATTACCATTTAAATTGATGAAGAAGCCTAGATACATACATTCTTTGATGGCTGGCTTATTTTTCGTACTAACTTAGGTGGTATATTCTTTGATTCCGCAACCCATGATATGGATTTGATTTGCTGGATACTTGGAGAATCGCCTTCCACTCTATACTGTCAGGCCCATGCGTTCAACCCAGAAATTGCAGCTATCGATGACTTTGATCAAATTGGAATCATGATGAAATTTCCAGGCGGGGCTATAGCACACATTGACATAAATCGACAGGCACTGTATGGTTATGATCAGAGACTTGAGGTAGGCACAGACACTACAGTATGGTACAATTATTTGGTTTAATGCTACTGTACTATTATGTTTTTTAATAATTAATATTACATATGTTTAAATTAATGCTAGATTAATTGGTACTGCACAATTATATGGTTTAATTGTTAGTACAATGAAATGCTTAATAAGTTTAGACCTACGTAAAATGGACTTTTACGGAGTGTCAATGAAACTTAAAAATTGACCAATCAGGAGGTGTTATGCAATAGCCAGAAATACAGTACGTGATTGTTCAACAAATACACGGAAGTTTACGTACACTTTATTAAAAATGCATTGCTCAGGATTGGCGCTTCATCGACAGAAGCACTTACTTATTCTATAATTTACGATACTTAATCAATTATTATTAATTATTGGTAGTTGTGGAGTGACAAGCGCCCTTCTGTGAGTAAATTTCTTACAAATCAAATCAAATCATCAAACATTCATTTCACCATGGTCAAATATACACATAAAACAAGGCATAGACGAGTACCAACCTAGAAGTCGAGTAGTGCTCACAACAGGCTGCATTTCAACACTATGTCTTATGACTTGGAATGATTTCACTTTTTCAACAGGTATTTGGATCTAATGGTATGCTTGAGTCTAAAAATATGTACCCAACATCTGTTCACTACCATAGCAAATATGGGCATAGTTTGGGTCATATAGAAGACTCGTTTACAGCCCGCTACAAAGAGTCATACCGTTTGGAATTTGAACATTTTCTGAATGTCTACCAAGGTTAGATTTATATAATAATATAAGTTATATATACATGTATGGTCGTTGTGTCAATATTAACAAGAAAGTTTGGATTAAAATTGATTAGCTTGGTGGTATGATGCTTGCCTTCCAATCTCAGAGTTTCTTATGATGAATAAACAGTGGCGTATCTAGGGGAGGGCGAGGTGGGCTCACCTCCCCAAAAAATTACTCGCTCGCCCCAGTCTACCCCAAAAAAAAATCACTGTCAAGTAGTTAAAATCACCATATTTTGCGAATTAGCGCCCCTCAATTGATCATCGATCCCCCCACTTCACCTTCGCACCTTCCCCATCAGCCCCCACCCCAATTCAAGACCTCAAGATACGTCACTGCGAATAAGAGCTCTACCAATCCCTAAGCCTCATAAAGAGGCCTTATAAAACAATAATCTTATAGAGAAACTCGCTATTTTCCCTGCACATTGTACATCCAGAAAAGTTTGACAAAACTGTATAATTGTTAATCTTTCAAGTGAAGTTGTGCTATATAAGTTTTATCAATCTCAATGCAATCTCATATTTTTCATTTAAAAAACCAGAAATGTCATCTTAATTTGACACTAGAGAAATTTAGAAAGAAAATATACAACTGACAAAAAATACTAAATGTCATGTAAACCAGCCATCTGCGAGCTATTTTTAATTTCTATTTTCTTAATTAATAAAGTTTTGCTTTGACATTCTTTCCTTTATTCTTAAATCTTCTGTATTTCATCAACCAATAGGAATTGAATCCACCTTGGACGTATCAGAAGAAGACTGCATCCGGGTTACTAGACTTTCCGAGTGTTGTAGAGAGTCGTTACAATCGGGCAAGCCAATCCAGTTCAAAATGAGTTAACCCGTTGGATGTAATATAGAACATGACAATGCAATTTTTTTACGGGATTTGGTAAATAAAGATAAGATGGTATTTGAACGAACAATATCGTTAATGCATAAAATTGCATGAATAGAAGAAGTTACTGGTACCATTAAATTTGAAATAAACTAGGCCACTCAGGGTATCAGTGTTAGTTTATAGTAAAATACAGAGTTAATATGTATAAGATATTTTAATTGTGTCTTATCGATATGTTTTTAATTTGTTAAACAGAAATAAAGTGGAATTGCATGATATAAACTTATGCATGTGTATCTGTGTGTTGTTTAGACTTTGTGGAGTATAGTGGATAGCAAGCAAAACGTAAAAAATCGTACTATTTGGTCTAAAACTATGAACATTGTTCCTGATATAAAAAGTTAACCTGTATTTGTTTCAACAACTATTTTTATTAGGATTTTAATTAGTGAAATAAATAGAAGTGTAAAACGCTGTACGTGTGTGTGTGGGGGGGGGGGGTGTATCTGGGCTATGTTTGGAAATACCATACAGATGTTAACGATATTACCGCGATTACTATCAAAATCAGTGTATTGATTTCGTCACATATGCCTGAATAAGCAAGGCAAAATAATACAAATTTGCTACACCAATCATCGTTATTCATATTGTCATTCGTATTCATAGACAATACCAATATAAAGAGACCATTGATATTATCTGGTTAGAAGGATTAAATCATTGCGCTTGTTAACACTAATGTATTATTATTATAGCCGTCAGAGTAGTACAGTACAATGTAAGGTTTTGAATTTAATGCTACCAATTTTACCCAAGCAGAATACTCTCAATTACCGATTTAGCGAAATTTCTAGCGAGTTCAGGTATTTAAAAAATCAAGTTTGATATATCTGTCAGTTGCTACACAAAGAATTATTTCATCCGTATAATTTGGAGTATATAATGACGTCATTAAAGAAAGTGTGTATTGCCATATTTGGTATGGGAAGAATTGGACAAGTCCATCTTGAAAACGCAGTTAGTAACCCCAGAGTGTGGGTTAAGTACATTATGACGACCAATTATGAGAAAACACTACAAATAAAGCAACGATATCATATTGATGATTCTGTTGAAATCGTACTGTCTAGTGACGTCGGCAAAATATTAGAAGATAAAAGGTAAGCATTACTGTAATTTACTGAATAATTTCCGTATTGAATTCGTAATCGATAATTATTCAATGAATGCGAGTCGCACCATATATATACTGTCTCTTATACACATCTAGATGTGTATAAGAGACAGCCCGAACCATGAGCCCAGGGAGGGCGGTATCAACATCATCACATGATCTGGACAGGTCAAAACTTCTCCATGTTGGGTTATATATATATATATATATATATATATACATACATTTAATGTTCCATTTATCCAATCTCTGACCATCTCTTTTATTAGTTCCCCTGGTATCGACATTCGACTTTTTCTAGTGTAGGGCCTACCATTTTATTGCTAGAAGATATTGACTCAATTCTTCATTTCTCTGTTCTGATTAGATTCCCATACACAACTTTTTTTTCAATCTATCAACTCAGTCAGACATTATATTACGTTATCCTTTACTTATACTTAGTGCTATTCGTTGCGCTTTCAGAGCGTAAACTACTCGCCAGTCTAGTAATTTATGTATTTTGCAAGCAAAAATTATATTTAATTTATTTAATAATGTATCCATTGTTATTGTGTGTTTGGTGAATTCAATGATGGCTGATTTGATCCTTGAATATTAGTAACATGTGGAAGCACGCATGAAATCCAGTTACTAATGTGGTGGTGAATATGTGAAGAATACCAAGTCAGTTAACGAACTATAATAAGTAAAATATAAAGAAGACGTGTTCATTTGTGTTTGCAAACATAGAATATAATATAGTGTAACGGTAATGAAACTCAAATATGCAAGATGTTGACTTTAGAAACACTAAAATTTATTGATGCGAATATTTCGGCTACATAAAATGTCAAGCGTTGACAAAGACTACAGGAGTAGCCGAAATATTCGCATTTAATTTTAGTGTTTCTCAAGTCAACACCTTACGTATTTGAGTTTCATTACCGTTACGCTATATTATATTATACAGTACGGTATATATACATATATATATATATATGTGTGTGTGTGTGTGTGTGTGTGTGTGTGTGCGTGTGTGGTGTATACACATATCTAGTCGTATCAAGTGATAATGCATATACTGCAACCACAAATACTTTTATATCTGTAGTGTTGAAATGGTAGTTATTTGCACGTCAACTTCGCATCACGTTGAAATCATACAAGCAAGCTGTAAGGCAGGTGTGCTATTTATTTTATACTTTACTATTCTAAATGATCATGTTTAAACATAAAGCCCAGCAAATGGGGCTATTCGATACAAAATGTGAGTACAGTACAACTCATTGGCAAAAATTTTATTGGAGGACAATGCGAGTTCATCTTCTCTATGCTTCAGTACAGGCTATATAAATAACGTATATTTGATGTACTTTTAAATAGTAATAATAATAACAATAATATAATATAATAATAATAATAACAATAATAATATAAAAAATATCAAAAATAATAAATATAATAAATAATACTTATAGTAATAATAATAATAATAATAATAATAATAATAATAATAGGAAATCGTTTTAGTTAACAATTACAAGTTTAACTAAGTGCAGTGCTTGAAATGAAAATGTGTAATTTTTTTAAATTATATTACCTATTTAGATGTCTTTAATTGTGTACATTTTAATCAAATAATTTAAATAATTAAATATTAATAATAATAATAAAAATAATAATAATAATAGGAAATCATTTTGGTTACAAGTTTAATTAAGTGCAATGTTTCTTTTATTATGTACCTCTTTTTTCATGTCTTTAATATTTTACATTTTTTATTTTAATCAATTTGAAATGAAATTAAAATGAAATAATTACACCTCTGTAAAAAATAGTGGTATGACACTCAAAAGTGACTGTGCAATTTAACGAATACCAGGATTCGTATTACAATTTACATGTACACGGTATTTTGTAAAGCGGACATTTTTGGATGAAAACATTTAATATTAAATTCAATCCAATACAATTTAAATTTTATTTCAGACATCCATTGTCCATATCAAAAAATGAAGAGAAAAATATTGTACAAAAGTAACATTCATGATTTAATTGATATGTGACATATTTGTACAAATATGTACATGAGTATCGGTTATCAATCAATAAACGAACTTTGTTTTAGGTAAAGCTGTATTTTGTGAGAAGCCTATCGCACTTACATTAGATGACGTCACATCATGTTTTGCTTCTGCCCGAGAAAATGGACAACTGCTGTTCTGTGCCTACAACAGGTGAATAAGAATAATTATTATAACGTTCAAAGAAAGATAATTTTGTAAATAATTTTGTTTGTTGTGTTTTACATAGGCCAATTAATGTTCATTAATCTGAACTATTTTCTTTAAATGTTAAATCTGGAGATTACAGAAGAAAACAATTTTTTCTAGGCGATTTGATCCTTCAATTCGTGATCTATATAATCGTGTGAAATCCGGGGAAATCAAAGACATTATATCAATCAGATCAACAAATTCGGATCAACAGTGTCCACCAATGAGCTACCTTAAAAACTCAGGTAGGTTTTAATCTTTCCAAGATTTTTCATCACCATATCATTTTAATAATAGTACTAATTATTATTATTCGTGATATTATTACATCATATCGGCAGGCCCGTATCCAGGTGGGGTTTTTATGGTTCGGCAGAACCCCCCTTTTCTAGCAAACCCCCCTCTTTTCTGGCGAAACCCCCCTTTTCCCAATCCCAAGTCCTCCAATCCCAACTAATGCACTGCATACCCACCCAGACACAGACATTTTCAAACATATCTGCTCTTATAGCATTATTTAGACCCATAAAGCACAAAAATCCTCTTGCTTTGAGGGTTTCGCCGACCCTACTGGGGCTTCGACTGCGGACCTCACGCCCAGAGAACTCCCCCCCCCCAACCTTGTAAGAACCTGGCTACGGGCCTGATATAGGTACATATTACTTCAATAAGCCAATGTAGGAGTATATTTATATTATTAAGTTCCATCTTTAACGAATGAAACCTTTATGTTAAACCTGCGAGACCATAGTAGCCTATTTTACTGAGGTCTTGATATTTGTTATTTTATTTTCTTAAGGCGGTTTATTTTTTGATTGTGCAACCCATGACTTGGATATAATATGCTGGATTATGGGAGAAAGTCCATCCACGGTCTACTGCCAGGCGTATGCGTTAAACCCAGACGTGGCAGCTGTTGGAGATTACGACACAGCTGGAATCATGATGCAGTTTTCAGGAGGCGCTATCGCATATGTTGATCTCGGCCGCGAAGCTATATACGGTTATGACCAGAGACTTGAGGTGCGACTTTTTAACTCTTCTATGATAGGCCTATACATTTTTACTGGATGATTATCATTTGAGTAATTCGAGTTATTATAATTTTATACAGGTGTTTGGGACTGCTGGTATGTTGCAGACTTTAAATCTTTATCCAACTTCAGTCCAGTCACATGATCACAAGGGACATTCTAGTGGCCAAATTTATCAAGCATGGTTATCCCGCTATAAAGAATCATACAGATTAGAATTTGAGCATTTTCTTGATGTTTACCAAGGTTAGGACGTTTACATTACAAATTAATTATGACCAAATAATGATTTTATTGCTTTAAGGTACATTAGGTACAGTATTTTAAAATAATGTTCTGTGGAATATCTTTTCTTTACTCTTTTCGACCTCTTTTATATTCTTCTATTTAGGGATCGAACCTGAGCTAGAAGTGTCCGAAGAAGCCTGTATCCTGGCAATTAAGCTGTCAATGTGCTGTGAAGAGTCTTTACATTCCGGTGGCCCTGTCACTCTCGAGATGGAGTGACGATGTGGGCGCCTGCCTACCAACTCACGTGTTTATGAAAAGAATTTAAATTTAGTCACCTCTGTCACGTTCAAGATGAACAGACGATGTGCTTCACCAACTCATTTGAATTTAAGCGCCTCCGACTAGTTGGAGATACACTGATTTCGTGTGACCTTATATAATATATATAAGGTATAAAATATTTTATATAGGCTTAATAGATCGATCATTCCATGGATTAATCGATCAAATGTTTTGGTTTTGCCACATGATAAACTTTTAGCTAATTGTTTTGCCATATTAATTTTTTTGAACAGCTGCGTAGTGCTCTAATGAATATTTTGCAAGTTGAATTGAATTTGGCAAGTACAAATAATAGAGGATAATATCATTGCGTTTGAGATTTTTTAATGCGGTACACTTTCGTAATAATGATAATAAAAACAATAAAAATAGCGTCAATGAAATATTATTATTGTTATGATTACAACAAAATGATGATTATTTAGACTAATAGTTGATGAAAATATTATTAAATATTATTTTATAAATCATCTTAGTAATGTAATTAATGTTCGTTATTTTTACTATCTTTTCTTTCCTTTTAGTATACTATTTCATTTTTGTTCTGTTACTACATGTAATTGCATATTTATTGCTATTTTATAAGCAAAGTAGTTATGTTTAGTCACCCTCGATTTATTTAGTAGTGCATGTTCTTCCCCTTCAACCTATTTTTATTTAGATTCAATATGTATACGTGCATCTATGTATATATAGTATTTTGTCAATGTACCATTGCCTTCCAATATCTACCTTGAACCTCCATTATTTATTGTTACTTGTTGCTATTATTATATCTTTGGTAGTACTGTATACTGAATTTTAACGAAGAAACGTAATTGAAAAAAATATGTGGATTGAATAAATGATGGTAATAAAAAATGTTATATAAAACAATAACAACAAAAAATAGAGCATAATGTGTTTTTCCGTAGCATTGTTATTGTATAATTTCGATCTTAGTATCCACTGAATTTTCAGAGTAAAAATATATTTTTGTGATGAGAATGAACTGATGTTCCGGGTGACCTTTGACATTGTTGACACTGATGGTGTAAATCGCATACCATCATTGAGTTGACTAGTCCTATGCTAATTTATCGATCAATAACTGATCTTTGGTACGTAACCGATCCAAATCGATGCCCAGCGCGTTCGCACGGTATGGTCAGCTTAATCAATAGAAATGTATTGTATAGGTGATAAGTAACGTATGATCTACGACGGCGTACTTATATCAACATCTGCTATGCTTTGATTGGATACGCTGAATTCACGTGATATTCTGTTACAAACACCAATTGTTTTTATATGTGTGTTTACTAGAACACGTTACAGTAATCCATACGATATCAACATGTCGCATTCATCTACATTAGGAGTAGCAATATTTGGGGTGGGCGATATGGGAACCATACATTTAAAGAATGCCATAAAAAATCCGAGAATATCTATTAAATGGATTGTAGAAGCAAGTAACGAGAGAATCGATCGCTTGAAGAAAGAATTGTATTTAGATGACTCTGTCTTATTTACAAATACGGATGGTGTTGATAAAGTACTTGCAGACAACAGGTAAGTTAAGATTCAATGATATAAGTTTACTTTCATTTTTTTTGGTATTTAATTTAGTTTTCAAGCAAACGTAACAATTTATCAAATCAAACATTAAAATGGTACAAGGGAAACAATTAAAAAAAAATAGTTTTAGTAGTTAAATTTAGAAAAGCAAAAGTTTGAATCCAGTAGACCTATAGTAGAATTGTAAAGCTAGCCATAAAACTCATTTTCATATTTTATAACAGTGTTAATGCTCTCATTGTTTGCACTCCAACACCTTACCATGTTGGCTTGATCAAAGCAGGATGCGCAGCAGGTAAGTAAACGTATTTGATGATTATCATGGGGATGGCGATATATAATGACTGACTGACTACATAATAATGGTGGCTGATGATAGTTATTAGTAATTATTGTGATGAAATATTAATGATAATGATGATAAATAATAATGTTGTTGATAGAAATTATATTGATAATGATAATGATTGTTTTTGTGATGGTAAATGACGATGATTATAATTGTGATGTTGATAATGGTATGGTGTTGATGGAGGTGATTATAATAAATGTGATGATGATCATGATAATAATGAAATAAAATTGATTTTGGTCATTATGATGACGATTTAAATTATTAGTATTATGAAAACCGAAGTGGTAATAATACAGATTCAATGAATGAATGAATGCATGGTGATTAGAATATATACTATTTAAAAATGTTTTAATAGGTAAAGCAATTTTCTGCGAGAAACCAATAGCAACGACAGTTGATGACGTCACTTCCTGTTATGCTGCCGCTAAAATTAATGGACAGTTTTTGTTCTGTGCTCTTAACAGGTAAGCACGTTATTAAATTCATAATGGTAAGCCTATCTATTTAAAAAATGTGAACAGCTTATGTACATTTTATTTATTTATTTTTTTTTTTACCCATTGGTTATTTGTTATTCTTCTATACATAAATAGCTACCCAAGAGGACACAAGGTTCTTGATAGATGTGATGCGAAAATTAAAAGACAGAAAAAGTCCATTTATGTTATGTTTTATTTGTTAAAATTTTTGCAATTGTGAAAATATAATTTATTAATCATTTTTAATTGAGTGCAAGTACTAAACATTTGTCTTAATAGGCGTTTCGATCCATCGATTTGTGAACTGTACAAACGGGTCAAGTCTGGAGAAATTGGAAAAATTAAGTCGATAAAAACCGTGGCAAGAGATTATCCGCAGCGTCCCGTTAGTTTCTTGAAATGGTCTTGTAAGTAGGCCTAATACTAGCTGCAACAAACCTTTTCGTAATTTAAAGTGTCATTCTTTCGTGTTCATGTTTCCTTTATTATTTATCTGCTAAATTAAATTTCTGCTCTATAGACCTATACTAGTTATTGATATGTAGTACGATATCTGCAACTTTCCAATATTGCTGTCCATCGACATACATTTATATTTGTCTGCTGAAAAAAATAAAAGAATTTAATATGTGTCTATAATATAATCAGTAGATTATATCATAGACATAATTTAAATTCTTTTATTCTTTTTCAGCCGGTATTTTCTTTGATCAAGCGATCCATGACATTGATTTTGCGTGTAGAATCATCGGAGAAGCTCCGATGAGTGTCTACTGCCAAGCGCATTCGTTCAATCCAGAGATTGCTGCCATCAATGAGGTAGACCAAGGCAACATTATGATGCAGTTTCCAGGGGGTGCAATTGTTCATATTGAAGTCAGTCGATATGCTGCGCATGGATATGATCAAAGAATTGAGGTACAGTAGGTCTACTTTTAAATATCTTTTTGTTAATTTACATTTTGGATTTTTAGTGCATCGTTATCCAAGGAAATTTAACAGAGGGTATATACAAGTATTTAAATTTACGGAAATGTAAAAAAAAATAAAATAAAAAGTGAAAGTTGGGCAAACATAAACTAACTAGTATTGGGAATGATTACAATTTGTTTCATATGTCGGCCCTATCCAGTCACTTTCCTCTTCGTTAACCTTCCATATTTCACTTAGGCCTAAAATAGGCCATTATGAGGATTTTACATCAAAATATCTATTAGACATTATGATTTTTAAATATCGTAGGTTTTCGGAACAAAGGGAATGTTGGAGACAAAGAACTTGTTCCAAAATTCTGTACAGTTTCACCAAGATTCCGGACAATGTCGGGGGAAATATGAAGAATCTTTCCAGGCCCGCTATAAAGATTCTTACTATAACGAATTAGAACACTTCTTAAACGTTTATAAAGGTAAGTAATGTGGTTATTGATACGTCTATAAGTACCTAGGTTTTTTATGACATCATCATTTACAATGTATTCACATAATCCTTATAAGGCAGTTGAACGTATCCTCAGTTTTGATTGGTTGTGATGGAGTCTAGTGTTAGGCCTACCAGGGGCGGATTTAGGGGCCCGGCGAAGCCCCCCCCCCCCCTTTTTTTTTTGGGAGGTAAACGAAAAAAAGAAAGAAAAAGAAAAAATTGATAGCCCACAACGCCTCAAATGTTATTTTCGGGCGTCTAGAACACAAAAATTTCGCGGGGGCATGCCCCGGACCCCCTGGGACATTGTTGTCTCGATCGGCCCAAATTTCGCCCCCCCCCCCCCCCTTTTGGCCTTTTGGACATCTCTGGATCCGCCCCTGCCTACCATGCTACCTCCAATTCAGTAATCAAGATTTTCATTACCATCAACATTTACGCTCATCTGCCTCTTGAGGCCTGACATAGACAACATAAATTACTACATTTATACCATACCTTAGTTGAATGTATATCCACCAAACGTTCTGTTGCAATGATTGTTGTATGGACTTGAACTATTTATGTACATAATAGGCCTATGTTTAGGTAACGAGAAATAACACTTCTTTCATTCACTTAAGTACTGTATATGCGCAGCGCTATTGGTATAAAATATCTAATTCGTGCATATGATTTACGTTTTATTAAAAAACAAATATATATTTATATATATTATATATATATATATTTATGTATGTATGTATGTATATATATGTATTTATGTATATATATATATATAT